GGAGGCTGATGGCCTTAGGCCGGCGGCCCAGCCACTGAGAATGGGAGTTCGGGGCAGAGTCCAGGTGGGTTTCAGGTCCCCACCTCCTTCCGCTGGGGCACGCGGCGCCACCAGACGTGGTCGCAGGAGGAGCAGGCGAACTGCCGGTCCACGGCGGGGATCAGGTCGTCCTGGGCGCGTTGGAACATGCGGAGGTTGGCTGCCGTCAGCGGCAGGAGGGATGTCGCCACTGCCTGGGGGGCGGAGGGGGGGCACAAGAGGGGGTCACCCCGCCGGCAGCCACGCAGACAGGCCAGCCCTCTTCCCTGCAGGGGGCCCCTCCAGCCCCGCCCCAGCCACCGACTCGCCTGGATGTCGCGGTCCTGCTTCATGTCCTCTGGCGGGTCCTGGGTGGAGACACCAGGGGCAGAACCTGGAGGTGGGGCTCGGGCCTGTTCCCACCCTGGCATGCTGGTGGAGGGGCCCATAGCACACTAGGGTGCCCCCAACTCACCAGGAGCACCAGCTGTGTGGCCTCAGCCTCTGCCGCCCTGAGAGGCCAGCACACCTGCTATCCTTATTGCTCAGATGGGGAAACTGAGGCTCAGAGCCAAGGGAGGGGCTTGTCCAAGTGAGGCCTGGACTCCACTCCCTGCCTGCCTGCAGACGCCACACACTCGGTGCTGTGACACATTGCTTCCGGAGGCCGTGCTGCTTTGGTGGAGTGCTTCGGCTCTGGGTTCACAGCACCGCAGGTTCGAACCCTAGCTCTACCACTTCCAGCTGTTGGGCTGTCAGCAAGCCACCCGGTCCCCCGCCCCCCTCACTGACGGCATCTCAGGACCCAGGCTCTGATGTCAGGTGGCCAGGGTTTCAATCCCTGCTGCCACCTGCTTGTTGTGTGAACCTGGCAAGTGACTTCATCACTCCATGCCTCAGTTTCCTTGTCTAGAAAATGGGGATGATAAAAGCACCTTTCTCACAGGGTCACTGTGGTGACAAAAGAAGCCAGTTTTGGACCTTGCCATGTGGGATGGGCTCAACCAATGCTACCCTTTGCTGTTTTGATCATAATTTTATATGCATAAACATCAGGAGTATACTATGTGGGGTTATTTTTTGTTTTGGGGGGAGGGGTCGGAATCTCACTGTCACCCAGGCTGGAGTGCAGTGGCATGCTCACAGCCACCACGGCCTCGACCTGCTGGGCACAAACGATCCTTCCACCTCAACTTTCCAAGTAGCTGGAACTGCAGGCACGTGTCACCATGCCTGGCTAATTTTTTGATTTGGACAGATGAGGTCTCGCCAAGTTGCCCCGGCTGGTCTCAAACCACTGGTCTCAGGCAGTCCTCTTGCCTTGGCCTCCCAAAGTGCTGGGATCACAGGCATGAGCCACTATGCCCCGCACAATATATGTCTTATTATGTTCTTTAGCAACTCTATGCTGGATCCTTCAGACAGGCGGAACCCACAGTCAGCTACCACTGACACTGTGTAAGAGCTGCAAGGTGGCCTGGGCAACATAGTAAGACCTCGTCTCTACAAAAAAAGTCAATAAATTAGCTGGGCATGGTGGCAGCACCTGTAGTCCCAGCTGCTCGGGATGCTTAGGCGGAAACATCACCTGAGCCCAGCAGATCGAGGCTGCGGTGGCCGTGAGTGTGCCACTGCACGCCAGCCTGGGTGACAGTGGGAGACTCCAACTCAGAAACAAAGAAGCAAAGTGGCTGTGTTGCCCTGTGCCGCAAAGCCTCGCTCATTCATTCATTCATTCATTCATACATACCAGGGCTCCCCTGTCTCTCCTCCCCCATCCCCTGCTTAGTCCAGCCTTTCTTCCTGGCTGCCCTCTGCTCACACCATCCCTCCTCCACCCCCACCAAGAACTCTGACCTCTCTCATGGCCTTGGCCTTTCCCTTCCCAGGATCTCTCTTCTGCAATCCTTGACGATTTGGCACCTCCTCCTCCAGGAAGACTTCCCTGACCTCAGAAACTCCCCTACAATGGCAATAATCCTGGCTCCTTTCGTTAGTTTCATGGCTCTCTCCCTCACTTAATACAGTCACCACGCCATGAGCGCCTGCTGTTTGCAGGATTCCTGGCCGGACCCACGACTGACGGTGAAACAGCGAACGCGGTTGAGTGGTGGCGCGGCCGTGCCCAGTCCCTCCTGCTCCAGAGGGGGTCACCACAGACGGGCGTCCCGGCCCTCGGCGGGAGGGGACAGGTTACCTGGGCGTCCAGGTCGTTACTCAGCTCCTGGCCATCTTTCTGCTTCACCCCTGGGGGGAGAGGAGGCGGGAGGAAGGCCCTTCGAAGGGTCTGCGGGCGCCCCC